GGGTTCCTACTCCAATCATTGTCTCTGTCCCGAGACCTCTGTTGCAGCCTCGCGAGCTCCTGTGATATCGACTCAATCCAGGTCTCAAAATACTGCGCGCCGTCCATGACGTGGTGGTAGTCCCCGACGGCAATCACCTTGCCCTGCACATCTTGGTGGCCCTTTGGACTGTGGCCTGACTGCACATTGCAACACCACCCTTTTTTCGGATGAAAGTAGCCACATGGTACCAAATCTAGAAAGGCGAACAGAGCTTCACGACAAAAGCTTCTGTATCCATCCCGTTCGTCTGGAGTTAGAAGCTCTCTTGCTTCACCTGTATTTTGGATCGGGTTTAGCACAACTAGTCCCAAAAGAGGAATTTGGACCTGAACTGATACTATGTTAGGATGACCTCACTTACCCATAATGCCATGTCGAACAGAATCTAGAAAGATACATGACGCTACCATGGGTACCATTGTGTTAAAGGTTTTCTGTGGTAGATACCTTCGATCAACACTTAGGCTCCGGCTGATCGCGTTTGCTAAATTGACAAGGTTATCCTTGAAGTCTTTTGGGATGGGACAGAGTCTGAGTGATTCCTTCATGAAGTCGAATGGGTCGGATAAGTTGGTCGCAAAGTGGTCAAATGCTGCACGAAGATAGAGTTGCATTCTCTCGGCTGTTGCCAGCATGCGTATGTCTTTCTTTGTCGATTGAGCTGCTTCGCAATCATCGCGGAGTATGTCGAAGAGTTGCCCCAGTTGATCGTCCAAACGCATGTAGCGACCCTTGTATGGAATCCTTACCACTTTTATAGAGGCATAATAGCACAGGAGTAGGTCTTCGATTGTGCGTATCACACGGCCTTTGTCTCTCCAACGTTTGACGTACTCCCGGATGCCTGACACTTCGACAGTGTCATGGTGATGGTTAAGGAAACGCTCGGTTGCCATTTTTGAGTCCCATTCAGTATTGTCCACAGCATTGTCTGTGTGATTCAGAACTAAGACGGCGTGAGGAAGTGCAGGTTGGTTGATGGATCTGCTGATACATGCTTGCCCCCAATCGAGCAGCTTCTTCAACACAGCAGACTCAAACTTGCTTGATTGGGGTTCGATGGTCAGTACGTATATGATACAAAACATTGGTACGGTGCTATAGCTACCTTGGATTCTTCATGACAAACACTACCACGTCCGAAAAAGTGTAGAGAATTCGCGGGTAGACGTGCCTCACAGCGAACCCTCGCCCATCCTTTGAATCCCAAGTGATCTCTCTTTTAGAACCATAAGGTAGAGGCTTTTGAAGCTTTCTTGTGGGATGAATACCGTGCTTTATGAGAGCTGCGGCCGCAAGGTTTGCGGCATGCGATGGACCACATTTGGCTATTGGTAGAGCTTCGATTGTACCATTCAGTCGATGTCGTAGCCCTCTGGGGGTCTTTTCGCCCCCTCCTAGACCTTCGCAATCCGCGTAGAGCATAGGCTTTGTCGTATGATACGATAACGGATCCGCGTAAAGATGCACGTCCGCTGAGGTTGGTTGTATGGAGTTGATGGATGCCGTCACCGGGGAAGGGTATGCAGTCCTGTCGTCAGCGATGTCGAGTCGGTCGATTAGCATCTTGATGATGGCACTTTTACCCTCTCCTTCAGATGATATATTGATTAGCCAGTGTCGAACTAACTAAAGCGTGTTGGAAATACCTGTTTCACCAATGAAGGACACCAAACTGGGGTAGCGATTGCTGCGGTCTTGTCTCCTGTTGCCTGCCATGAGAGCTGCGAAGCGACCATGATCACGGAGATTGGGTTTCTTCGACGCTTCGCGCTCTATACCGAACCAAAGCGTTCCCTCATCCGATTTGTGTTCTAACTCGTACTCTGCTGAAGTCCGCTCTGGTTCCAAGATTCTGCGTAGCTTGTTCACAACCACTGCGTCTACCTTCTCGTGGGGCAAATTGTCAACGCCCTTGGCTCCCGGGCGATGAAAGTCCCATTCGAACCAACATTCATCGGAGCAAAATGAATTGCTGTTGCACTGAATGCAGGTGAAGGTTCTTTTCAAGGGGCCGTGACAAACGTAGCACGTTACAGGTTCATCAGCGTCGCTTTCCATGATTGCTCAAAAGGCAAGATTGCGAAGAGATTGGACAGGAAAGTAATATGGCAACAAAAACAGGAATTGTGTTCTCCGTGCAATGAATGTCGACCTGTCAGGCGGGAAGTATGTGTTCCTTGTAGACATTGACCGGGGATCTCTTGAGAACTTGTGGACGGGAACTATCTGGTAAGCCATTTGGATTGATGTTGGACATTATTATTGGCCGTTGAGTGATCTCAGGTGACAATCGAAAATCGCGCATTGCCCAAGACATGTATCATTACACCGCCCTTGGCGCTAAAGCCATAGCAAATGAGAAGCCATTGATTGAACTTTGCAGCCCATGCACGAGCAGCGACTGATGCAGTCATCATTCTCCCTGAGTCCGGAGTAGCTGACAGCCAGTAAATAGCTACCAAGACATGGGGTGGCTCAGGCAGGCTGACACGGATACCAATGCATATGCATGGGATACAAGACATCTTTTCAGCTGTTATCGGAACCTCCGATGGGCTGTCTTTGAGCTATCTATGGTACATTCAGTGTCTACATAAGCCGCACCAGGTCCATAGGTGCATACCTATGATGAACGCCTGAATGACGGATACTCGAGACAACATAGCACTTCAAGATTTGAGAATATATGGTAGGATCTATCTCAAAAGGGACACCTCCTAATATGGTCGCGGTATTGTAGCCTCTTATGCGGCAGAAAAGGCAAAGGGCTAGGTGATGTGCTTAGATGCGTGACATTTACATTCAATTGCCACGTATTGGAAACTTAGGATGCGATCGTTAAGATCAATGAGGAGACCGGTGAGCCTGAGTATGCGAAGGAATCCTGAACTGGGCAATGATCAACTCAGGCTGCCAACAATACTCATTTTTCAATTTCCCCTAGCGTTTCAAGTGGCGTGAGCTGGGATCACACACGCTGGCGACCAAGAAATGCCCAGCCTTTCATACGCAGGGTGGTCTCATAACCATTGGCTGCCAGGTCCTCAAATGGCACATAAAGGATTCTCTGTGAGGACAGCCAGCCCAGCCTCAGCCTGATCCAGACATAAAAAGAACAAGATGCCTGGAAAGGTTTTACTTGTTAATCTTCTGATCGTACCAGTCTGAAAGCGCAAAGCGCCTGATAACTTAACGGTTCATTGGCTTCCAGAATGCCATATCTGCTGGCCTCATGAGGTTATCACAGAAGGCGGCACTCCCACGCAAAACCGTCCTCCTTAAAACCTACACTTGCAGAGTCAATATGGACAGTTTCTCAGAGGATTTGCCAGATGAATGGAAGTGATCTGAATAAGCAATACTAAAACTCTCTAGGGCCGAAAATTGCTACTTTTTGCTGGGTTCAATTTCTTCAGTTGGCACCGATGTTCACTGAGCTACCTTTCATTGCAAACTAAGACTCGCAGCCAGCACAGGTTTCTATTTGCAATTGCAGCACCTCTATGATGGGTTTGCCCAAGCCATTTCAAGGCCATTGTGACAAATTGTCTTGATCCTGACGGGCACAATGCGGCACTTCTCCCATCCATTTCAGTTGTAATGCCAGCTGGCAAATCAGTGACGTCCAACGTGCTATGGGGCATGCAAAGAGGCTCGTCCATAGAAGAGACGCCGAGGAAGATTTTGGCAGAGGCAAGAGTCAATCAAGCATACGTGATACATTTTCTTTTACCTTGCTCATTAACACGCTGGCTGGGCATACGTACGAACATGCCGGAGTGCAGTGCCGAAGCTAAAACAGCATCGGCCCCACGCCCCGCATCATACCCCATACCCCACGGATCCCGTCCCGTCCCGGGGCTTCCGGCTGCCGAGCGTGGGGGAGTGGGCAAGTTGCGGAAGATCGACCGTGCATGGCGTCTTAATTGACAGAAGAACTGGCACTATAAATTTAGTTTACCTTCGAAGTCAATCAATTGTCTCATCATAAGTACCTTGCAAGCTCATTCCTCGACACTGAGCATATCACCCAACTCAGAACAACCCAACACCAAACTTCGAAAATGGCAAACCTCAGCTCAACCCGCAAGCCGAACGGTTTGATCAAAATGACCATTGCGGGCCGCAAGATTCCAGGATGGGAAGATTCCAAGTTTTTGCAAGAGTACGTGGGCGTACACGCAGCGATGACGACCCAAATCGCGGCCGCAGTCCCCATTCTTCGAAAATACACTCAGGTTATCGCAATTCCGTATGAGCCCATCAACAAGCTGCCTAATGGCGGTCACCCCCCTTGGGACATGGCTTCCACACTGGAATGGACATCTCTCGATGACCTATACCAGTCTTTCCAAGCCCCGGAGTACAAGGCATCCGCAGGCAGTCACAAATTCGCCGATGAGGCATCGCAAGTCGGAGTTCTCAGCAAAGCTGTCGAAGAGATCACGTTCGATCCGACTGGGCTTGAGAAGCGAGGAAGCACGGCTACAATCTTGCAGGTCTTCCTCGCTAGGAATGGCGTTCAAGCGCTGAGTGAAGAAAGTTTGGCCAGCCGCGTTGCGAAGATCAAGAAGATTGGGGCTGGAAGCGACTTGTTGCGATACGTGGCTAACCGAGCCGTTACGCCTTCCGATCTCGTTACGTTCTTCAAAGGCACCCCCTTTGCCGAAACAGATTGGTCATCTACTGAGCTGATGGAGCAGTATTGGTTTCCAACCCGCGAAGCGGCCGTCGCCTTTATCAATGACGAAAGCAAACATAGCACGCTGTTTTCCGACGTTCCTGTCTCTTTGACGGCGGAGAAGTCGTTCGGAATCGTTGGAAAAGAAAACCGCGTGGTTGAGAAAGGAGAAAGTGACTAAAGGTGGCTCTTTCTACGGCTTTTTCGAGGGGACACATTCAGCTTAGCATCTCGTGTAGTCGGTGTAGTTTACATCGCGTCTTCCAAATAGCGCCTATTTTCCCCGTCTGTTGTTCTTGTACTGTGCCCGTACCACCATACCTATAGCGATGCTCAAAGACCACCCTGTCTGCGAGGAGAAAATTCGTTGGCTTTCTTGGACCAGTCGCCTCGAGGCACCTTGCTCGATCAGGGATCCAACACCCCCCATATATGGCCTCATACCTCGATCTCCTGAGGTCCATTTCACGAGCATCTCATCTTCGATCTCTTTGTCGAGTCTAAGAGTAAACAGCCTAGAAGTCCTATCTGATGCGGGGCTAGCCTGCAGTAGAGATCTGGACGACGAGTCGGGCTTGTCTTGCTTGCCTAGAGCTGTGAACATCCACAGCGCAAGTGTTCCAGTTAGAAGAGCCATGGGCTCATGATGGCTGTTGGTCGGATGATCTCGGAGCCAGCTGAGTAGCTTGGCGGCATGATACACGACAATTCTGGCTTTACCCTCATTGTCTTCTAACCAGATGGATAGCTTCCGGTCCACTGTTTGCCTTATGGTCGGGCTTATCCGCCACCCAGAGAACGAGTTAAGCTGCCTCAGGGGAAAATGCGATAAGAGGCTGAGAGCATGGTAGTGTTGGTTTATAAGTGATTTGAAGGTATCAGAAGGTGACCCAATGCCTTCAGCTGACCGAAGAATATCGAGATGTTGGATTGCGGCTTGTTGGTTAGGTGCATCGCGGTATACACCGAGTGTAAGAAGTAAAAGGTTGAGACTCGTGATCCCTACTGGTGTTTCTTTCTGTTGGTAAAGAATGTCCAATTCATGTCGAAGTGACCTGGATTTCTTGGAGGCTGTCCGTGTATGAATTAGCAACAAGAGTGCAAATGGATAGTTTGCTTTTGGACGCGACCTTACCATACTCTGCGTAGATTATAGACCACTGATCAGTCGTGGTGGCTGACCATAGCTCATCATGTGACGGCATGGATAGCTGCAACATGTCTAACGGTATTGTTTGGGCGAGATCGAAAAAGGAGACAAGTTGACAATCCAAGACCTGACTCAGTCGGTGAGTTCGGTAAGCCCCGGTGCTTCATGAAAAGATTGGGCAATGTGCTTACCCATGCAAGATGAACAAGGCGCTTTCTGCTCTCTGCTTGAATCCAACATTTCCAGCTCTCCCCACCCCCAGATGTAGCGTTATTTGGATGATGTTCGACGAAATAATTGGCTCTCTTGCAAAGGGTCGGTACGAGAGACATGTTCCTTTGCGCATGCTCCGCAAAAGACATGTTGCCAGAGAACATCAAGCCGACTTGACTGAGTAATGCAGATTGAGCAATATGAAGCTCCAAATCTGGGGTCGGGTTTGGTTCAAGCTCGATCTGAACGGATTGGCCTATCAATACAGAGTCCTTGATGGAGATAGACCCGGCAACTTAAAAACAACGCGACTTACACATAGGCTAACCGACCGGCGGAGAAATTCTTGCAAGATAAATGTTGTACAGGTGTTTCCTAGTTGCGAGAAACCGCACCCTATGGCGGCAACTGCAAGAATGAGAACCCAATGAACATCTGCGGTATCGAAGGTTGGCTGGTGAATCATTGGAAAGACATGGCTGTAGTGTTCGAAGTACGATTGGATGAATGCATTCATGGTTGTTATCGGTGGTAGCTGTTTGTCCGTGAACTTCCTGCAAAGTCCACTATCCGTGTTAAGCATCTCAAAATTGCGGTCAATTGTTTCGTAGACTCTTTCAGGCAGTGTGGGAACATGGTCGTAATCTTCCAGGTGCCAATCCTCTTCCGGTCTACTGGCTTTGTTCGCGGACAAACCTGCTATTCGAGAGAGATTCTCTAACCCGGCTGTTACGAAGTCATTTGTTTTGGGCTGTTGGCCATGTGTGCTGGTGTTTGGATTGGAATAGTCCCGTGCTAAAGCAGACGGACTACCAAGAACTTCCGCAAATGTGGCAGACAGCTCGGTGTGGTTGGTGTAATTGGGTCTTTGGGCTTCCCGGATTGGCGTTGGCTCGGAAGGCGTTTGACATATACCTTCTTTCTCACGTGCAGTCTCTACATCGGCGGGCGATGGTTCCGACGCAGTAGTAGATACTTCCGGTATTGAGGGAAGCTCGGTGCCGTCGCCTGTTGAATATGATAGACTAGGACAGACGAAGTCATCCAGCAGAACATGGTCAGCTGCCATGCTCTGCCATGGCTCAACTCCTATCCAAGCGTGGGCGTCTGAGAATGGGAAACACCATCTTGTGGGTGACCAAGTGGGAATGTCCAACCTATCGAGTGCCATGGCCTCTGGCCAATCAGGGCGTAGCTGCGTATTGATCGACTGTACTGGCTGGCCAATAGTTCCGATGCCCGGAGCTGGCAGAGGTGATGCCTGTGACGATGAATGAGTGTCACTCCACGCAATACTTTTAGCGTCACAATACGGACCTCATGAGTCTCGATTTGATCGCATGGTGGAACGCAAGATTGTCCAAAGACTGTCAAGCCATCGTTATCATGTGGTAGATCGGTACCTTGGACTGTTGTTCCACTCGAGAAGCTAGCACTTCGTCGGCTTTCACCTGTGTATATGCAGGCGCGGCCCTTGTTCTGACACCTCTCACATGGCATCAGCCCGTCACATCTTTGTTTTGATCGCGCACAATCACGACAAGCTCTGGACACACATGTCCTTCGGGATCTTCCAGGAGCAACACTGTCGGGCCTTGATGAGGGATAATCCACATGACTCTGTGTATGGCGTTGGAGAGAGTCTCTGAGAGAAGAGCATCATCAGCCTTGAACCCCTGAGCAAGTTGAGTTGGGGACAGGGGCAGCAGGAAAGGGTGAGACGGGCATCAGGCTTCCACGCAAAACGCCTAAACATAGGAAAGCGAGACCAACCTTCTCGAAAAGCTCGCCCCGCAGACAGAACAAGAGAATGGGCGAACTCCGAGGTGTCGGAGAAGGTGACGGTTCAGGTGTTCTGACCGACGGAACTCGGCGTTGCAGACATCGCACTTGACCAACATCCTCGCTCATCCCCACAGTCGGACTTGTGGGATTTGGCCTTGGATGAACTAAAGACGCACCAAAATCGTTGGTGTCGGCAGCAATCGTTATCATGGCCCAAGGTTGTGAATCGAAGAGGGAGGATGGCCGTCGGAGGTTGTGGGGTAATATGGGCAAGTCAGAGTTTAAAAGGAGACAGCTTCGGAACGTGCGGGGGATCTTCAATGACAGAACCCCACTCTCGGGACAAGGTTCGCGTCGGAGTTGTGGGGTTCCTAAAGGAGCCTGCAACGCGGCCCGTCTTCCTAGTGCAAGACCAGCCCGGTCTAAGCTTAATGCCCGATGCCGTTGTCGAAAGTGCCACTGACAGTATGCATTTACGAGTCGGACTTGCTGAACACGTTGACCTCCACCGGTTACATCAATTGCGGGGGATAGTGGGGCTTTCATAGAGATCCGTCGTGATGCGAGACCTTCGTTGAGTAATTAGCTGCCGGAGAATCGGGCTCTAGAAGTGCGGCAAACAGATCTCCATGAAGTTCACCGAAAGTCTCCAACAGGAAGGCCACGGAAGCGTTGTCATCATATAAATGTCATCTTGTAAGCCTTTGTCGTTCAAGTGCCCTCTACAATCTCATATTCGTCTTTCTCTGTTATAAGCACATCAGCGAACTTCAATTTTTCACATCATCCTGCCTCTTTAGGTTTGCCATCACTTAAAAATGACTGCCGATTTCTCGAAGCTAGGAAGGCTTACGCTTGAGCCCGAGTCCAAGGACTGGGACATCATTGTTGTCGGCTCCGGGCACAATGGCCTTACCACTGCTGCATACCTAGCAGCTGCCGGAAAGAAGGTCCTCGTACTCGAGCGAGCATCCTACGCCGGTGGCGGTGTAGCTGGCCTCCAAATGGCAGAGGAAGGCTTCATCAGCGAACGTCACAGCGCCATCCACCAGATGATTCTTGCCAACCCTCTTATCGCCAACGACGAACTTGGCCTCCAGGCTAAGTATGGCCTCAAGTACCTTCAACTCGACCCCTGCTACGCCATCGTCATGGAGGACAGAGTCCTTCCCATCTACCGCGAGCGCCACCGCACCGTTGAAGCCATTCGAGAGGCCGCTCCCGAGGACGCGGACGCATACGAGAAATTCGTCGACACATCCCGAAAGATCACTGATCTGCTGATGCCATCCATGTTCGAGCCGCCCCGCGACACGTCGGCTGAGATTGCCAGCAGCGGCTTTGCGGAGGAGATCGCCACTGTCGGGGCTAGCTCGTCCTTGGACATCATTCAGCGGTACTTTAAGAACGAGATTCTACAAGTGGCTCTCTTGCGCTTTGTGACCGAGATTCAGCTTGCTCACCCCACGACCAAGGGAACTGGTCTCATGGTGTACCTCGCGTTTGGTCTTGTCGACAGATACGGACTCGCTGTACCTGAGGGTTCTGGAACGGCTTTCACCGAGTCGGTCATTCGATGCATCAAGGATCACGGAGGAGACATCAAGTTGGATACCGAAGTCATCAAAGTCGTCACCGAGAACGGGCGTGCAGTTGGGGTCAGAACCCGCTTTGGAGAGTTGCGGGCGAGAGAAGCCGTCATCGGCCAGATTCATCCCCACAAGCTGGATCAACTTGTCGACGGCTTGGACGAGTCTGTGACGGCGTCCGCCTTGCAGACACGTGTCTCTGAATTTACCCTATTCGTCATCCACGCAGCTCTTGAACGCCCCCTCAAGTTCAAAGCCGGCACCCTCGCCGACAGAAGCGTCATGAACACCTGCTGCCCAGGCACTCTCAAGGACTTGCTCAAGAGCTACGATGACATGGCTCTCGGTCTTCTCCCAGAGAAGATCATGATTGGTGCTTCCTGTGTAAGCTCAGCTGACCCCACCCGATGCCCACCTGGGAAGTCGTTGCTCCACTGCGTGGTCATGTGCAAAGCCGAGCCCGCAGACGGCGGCTGGGAGGGCTGGGATCGCCGTCGCGACGACTGGGTGCAGAAAGTGTTTGCATACTTCTCCAAGTACCTCGATAACTTCACACCGGACATCGTCCGCTCTTACCACGCGGTCGCTCCTCCGGACCATCAGTCTGACAGCCCAAGCTTCCAGCGTGGCGATATCTGCGGACTTTCCATGGCTGCAGACCAGATGGGATTGAGCCGCCCGACCCCTGCTTTGGCTCAGTATAGAGTGCCAGGTGTGAAGGGATTGTATCTCGCTGGACCATTCATGCACCCCGGCGGTGGTGTTTGGGGCGGAGGCCGCCCAGTTGCGAAGAGGGTCATGGAGGATCTCGGCTTGGACTTTGACAAGACTTTCGTTGCGAAGTCGAGCGCTCATCTTTGATTGAAGCTTGATTTTACCTTAGTTGTGAATCTAGTAGATACGTCAATTATTTTCCAGGTTACGAACAGATTGGTTCAAATTCCGAGGGTTTTCCAGATATCCTAGTTGATCTAAAAATAATTTGACTTTATGCTGTATGTCTTTTAAAATATCGCCAGGCCAGGCACTACGTCAACAGGTCCTATTGTGCTTGTGTCATTGATTAAACAACTTGCATTGAGTCACAAAATAGCTAGGATGGCCAAATAATAAACCAAAAAACACTGCCACTCTTACTCTTGATTATGCCCCTAAATTCAATTTCCTGGGACAATACAACATCTAGCTAGTGATGATCACCCGGTTATCGACTTCTCATTTACCACGGCGAAGAAATCCACCGTTGGATCCATCTTGCCCTTCGCTAGCTCGATCAATGCCTCCTCATATCTTGGACAAACATTGACAAAGAATTGACCGGCCCGGAGCGTTTCCACAATTTTCTTGCCGACGACGTCGACGTCCTTTCCCTGTTGTTTCAGGAAGGATGTGAAGGTTTGATGGAATTCATCGGAGGAGGTGCCAGACAAAGAGTCTACTGTCTCTGTGTATGTGATATCCGGGAATACGACACTCACACCAA